AAAATAGGCATTCTGAAGTTTGCTTTTAAAGAGGAGACTCTGTGACCTTTAAGACGTTTTTCTTAACTCTCTCGTCTCAAACAGGGATTCTCAAACTTCTTTTACAGTTCTTGTTGGTTTGAGGAGCCACGCTAGGTCTGAGAAGAGAGACTGGGGTTGGGGCGAGGGGCAAAACCCAAGTCCTGTTCCTGGAATTATGGCCTTTCTTCCCCCCCCCCCTTAACTGTTTATCTATTCTGCACCACTCAGCTGTTCTCTGTTGCACAGAAATAAAAGTTTAGTTTAAAAAGTATGTTAGAACAAAGCTGCAGAAATTGCCTGGAATTTCCTTCATTTTCAGCCATCTGGCTTTCATTGCTTACTTCTTTCCCCTCCTCCACATACGTTTACCAAATCTTTTCAACACACACTGGCCAAGCTATCAAATGCTTATAATTAATAACAGTCATGCTTTTTTTTTTTTTTTTTAAAGGTAGTGCTTTCTGGCTTTCCTTGGGCTGTTCGTGTCATTGCTAATATAAACCAGGGAGATGGTCAGTAAAACTTAATTATTACGACTTAGTTGAATAAGTGAGAAAATCTAATCAAATTTAAGTCCTGAATACAAAAAAATGATGTTTTATTTCAAACTAAAAGTATTTCTTGCCAAGAAATGAAAGAGAAGAAAAAGAATTTTTCTGAGTTCTCACTATGATCCTATCTTAGAGATGAAGAATCTGAGGATCCAAAAAGGTACATAAGCTCTTAAAGGTCATGTAGCTAAACCTAACACAGCAGTATCTGAATACAGGTTGGAATCTACCCGCTGGGTTTTATTTTGGTGGTCTCAGGGATGGGAAAGATTTTTAGGACATATTATTAAGTGAAAAATCAAATTGCCAAGTCATATGTATATTTATAATATGATCTGAAGGGAAGAAAATCGCATGTATTTGTTCATGTTCATATATGTATATATATTCATAGAAAAGGGTCTGGAAAGGTATGTACCAAATCACTAACATGGTTATCTCTGGGAAGAAGAAGGTTCTGGAACTGTAGAGCATGGTGGTGAAAAGGCAACATATGTCTTTCTTCCTTGATTACTTCTGCTATGCTTGACTTTTAAAGAATGAGAATATTCATGTATAACAACTTGCATCATTATAATACTCAGAAAGCTTTCTTATTGGGAAAGGGAGGCCAACCTGTCTCCTAATGACTGATTTTAGTTCCTTTTTGGACATTTTCCCCTTAAACTGGTCTAACCCACCCAGGAAGGTGAGCAGGGTAGAGGGGCTTCTAGACACAAATTACTCAGATGGTGGTAAAGGTAACTAAAATAATTTTTCTTCCTTGTAATTATAGCCTCTTGCTATCAACGTTGATGCAATATTCTCATTGTCGGTTCACGAATAAAAATGGTCCTAATTTCTTCTCACCAACTTTAGGCAAGATTGTTAAGGGAGATATACTACTTTCCATCTCTCCCGACAAACTCCTCCCTGGGTAATGCTAACAAGTCACTCAACCTCCATTACAGCTTGCCCTCTTACTCTTATTTTGGGGAGACTTTGCTGTCCGTGGCTGCTAACATAAAGGATTACTTTTCCTAAGTCTATTTATGTTTTGAATTGGTATTTAAAGCCTCACAGTTACAGAAGGGACTCTAATAACGGCTCTTTCAGCATAGTCGGGTGGGTGGAAGAGAGGGGACAGTTGGATGGACAGCAGAGAGCACTGGCATCGTCCCAGCTATCATTAATACTCGGATCTAAATATTACGCCTTATAAGTTTGGTCCTGTCCGTTATGCCCATGTATTCAATAAACACTTAATAAGCCCCTGCCTTGTGTCAAACATTATGCCAGGTGCTAGCTCCACAGAGAGGAGGATTTGGACATAGAGCTGATAGCGAGGATTTTAAAAGATAGTCCTCAGCAATAGGTAACTACTATTTTTTGCAAAACGCCCTAGAAATGGAGGCAGACCATGCTCATGCACACACGCGAGCAAGCGCGCACGCGCACACACATTGAAACAATCAGAATACCTCCAGCTTGAAAATACCCTTGTTGCTGTGGATAGCTGGGTGGGAGACTGTACCTGTCTAAACCCGGAGAAAGTTGGACACGTGCTTCTGATACCAGCCCTGCCATCCACACAGAGTAAATCAGGAGAAGGTGCATTTAATCTCAGAAAGACAGCCCAGATGGGACATGCCCTCTAGGCCTACGGCATTCTTCGTGTGATCGGACAACTCTGACCACACATGAGAGAAAACGTGGCTCCCTGACAACTGCCTGGGAAAGCTACTGCTCTTAACCAGCGGCCACCTCTCAGAGACGTATACCCAGTTACCAAGACTAGAAACATCATTTCTGTTTGTTCTGAGAAAATGCTCTGGTGTTTCGAACACGTGGACATCAGCACAGACCAAAAGCCCATCAGAGGACTCCCTAAAATGTGCAGGGAACAGTCATCCATGCACAATAAGAATTGTGAATTTGAGGCACCTGGGTGGCTTAGTCGTTAAGTGTCTGCCTTCGGCTCAGGACATGATCTCAGGGTCCTGGGATCGAGCCCCGCATCGGGCTCCCTGCTCGGCGGGAAGCCTGCTTCTCCCTCTCCCACGCCACCCCCCTGCTTGTGTTCCCTCTCTCGCTGTCTCTCTCTCTCTCTGTCAAATAAATAAATAAAATCTTAAAAAAAAAAAAGAATTGTGAATTAAAGATTTAAATTGCTCGCCACCTTCTAGAAGGTGCTTGGGAAAACCACCGTCTCTTATGTCCCTACCAAACCCATTTTCTCTTCCGTGTACATCTTACACCTACTTTCCGAATGAGTGATGGTTGTCCCCCGACATCATACTGAAATATCTCACAGGAGATGCACCTCCATATGTCTCTCGCTTTTAAGAGGAAAATGTGACTTTGGCTCTTTAACACCAGATGAAGAGAATGAGTCATCCCAGGCCACTGTACATTGGCCCTCTCTGTTGTTTTAATTAGCATCCGTCTACCAGCACTCAGCTGTGGATGGTTGGCTCAAGAAACCCCGGCTGTGCCCTGTAAGAGAGGTCTTGCCTGTCAGTCTGGCGCTTGGCTGGTGGGAGATCAAAGCACTGCGTTTATCTGGAGCAAATGCAGTAAGTTAAGCCTAACAAGAGTCCTTGTCTGGGAGTCAATATAAAGGTGGTAGAGTAAATTAAGCTCATCTAATTTAACCGCGCTGAGTACTTTGAGGATGGGAAGTAACACCTTGTGTCCTATTCCTTCTGCTGCCTGGGAAGGATTGGATTTAGTGGCTGCAAATCCGACAAGATCTTCAGCTGGTCCCGGGTGCTGACTCCTCAGCCCATCACAGCATTTGGATGTCATTACAACCCCGGGATGTGGTTAGACACTTAGGCTTGGTTTTAAAATCACGGTAAACAAGCGGAACAGAAATGACATCAATTATCAGCCCACAGCAGTAGCTGTCCAGTGCGTCTGCCTATAGACTAACAAAGAGTCATGAGATATTTGAGCAGGATGTGGTGACCTCAGATACGGCCTGGTCGTTTTGCAGATGTGGAAACAGAAAGGGCAGCCATCTTGCCCAATGCCACACAACTGGTGGGTAACAAAGCTCAGAGGAGAACCGCTGGACCTCCTAGCCAAGGCCCTTACAGGCTGTCCGTGCCAAAACTACTCCGCTTTTTCTGATTCGGGGAGAAAGAATGTAGTCAAACCGAAGGGGTTAGTATCCCTTGCCTGGACAGTTAGGGTTGCCCAATTGGAGAACGGTGAGGTTAGGTTGGAGATGTGGGACCAGGTCAAACAGGGATAGGAAAGAGGCTTCTTGGGATTCTATGCACTGGATCTAGTTTTTTCTGGGTCTAGCCCTTGACTCTATTCTACCGGCCGCTGTTCTCCGGGTGGAGTGCTTCTCCAAGCAGTGGCTGGCTGCTTTTCTGGATGCTATGGAGATGGCCCTGGTGGTTCGCCTCCCTTCTGCGTCAGAAAGGGGATGCCAGGCCCACCATTCAGATCAATCTATGGGACATCTCTGTGACCAGCAGAAATGCCCTGATCTGGCCCACAGTCTGTACCCTTTAAGTTCCAAAGGAAGGGTATTTTGCTGACTGAGAAATAAGACACGCCGCATCTGCAAATTATTGTCAGTTCTGGAGGCAACACATTGCTTCTTCCATGTTACTTTGCAGAAAGAGAAGAACTATCGTTCAGAAACAGCATTCCTTTTCGTATCTAGGATATGACCTTATCTTATAACAGTCTTCATCCCATCCGCAGACTTGAAAGTCTGGCTCTGGTTCTTGAAGCATCTCCCTTTGAAACCAGAATCATCGATAAGATGGTTTAGCTTCCACAGAGATTTGTTCCAAAGAAGTCTCTGCAGGCAAGTCTCTCAAGACACCATAAAATTGTGTGGACTAAAGCAGTGATTGGACTGATTAGCTAAGACTCAAGGTTGGGTAAAAATGAGACCTAGGCAGGACCGAACAATGAAATGCTCTAATTGATTTTATGCATGTGGAATGACACATACACTGCAGAGCATGCTATAATGAATCTGCATGCTGTGTGCATACAGATTTCACACTGGATCCATTATACCACCCAGTCACTCCAGTTTCTTATGCCCTGCAACCCATGAGCCAATCCATTACTATGGTGTGAGGGCTTGGGACCCAGGCTAAAAGTGGCAGAGACCCTGAAGCCTGTGGTTGCTTCCCTTCAGGAGGCAGCAGCAGTGAGGCATGTGCACATTCCGGTCGTGCCACGGGGCTCATTTCAGTGCACAGAGCCTTCTGGACCCTGAGCATGACCATTGGGCTGGAATTCCAAAGCCCTGGTTTCAATTAAATTTAAGTGGATTTGACTAAAAGTTTGAACTGATGCTAATTGGTTTTCAAAACACTGGGTTTTGAACAATAAGCATTCTGGTCTTGCCCACAGACAGAGGCACCCCACTCTGAACATACTCCTGGGTAGCAGGGCAGGCACGGCGCCCCTTACCTGGCCGGGCAGGGATCCAAACTGCAGGACTTGAGGAGCCGTGGCGGCCGGCGGCTGGTCACACACAGGTTCTCATCAGCAGGCTCCCGTGTCTGTTTGTTCAGGCAGCTCACCACAGCCTCCTGGACACCTGCGTACAAATCACACTGTCAGGCCAGAGTGGGCGTGTGTGGGGTGATGAAGTGTAGACAAGGCAGCTGGTGGGAGGCCTCTGTGATTGGTAGGGCTCTTGCTGCATGTCAGAGATTGCAGCGTGAAGCCCGGGGCTGCCCATCTTGTCAGGCATCGCTCCATCAGGGAGACAGTACTCGTGAGCTAGTGCCTCTGTAAAGGTGCCCCTGGAGAAGGGCAACTTCCCTCATGGGAGAGCTTGCACCAGTACTGATGAAACGCTTTAAGAAAATGCCACCAAAGTTACAGAGCTGCCAAAGCTGAGATGTGATAATTTAATGCAGGAGGAGAGCAGGGTGACCAAAAAAAAAAAAAAAAAAGAAGAAAAATGTCCCCGAGATCTTTACATGTTATGTTTTAATCAACAGGTGATTGTTGTATTTGGAAGGGAGGCCAAGAGCTATGTTTTAATACCCAATATCTTGTAAACTGCTGTTCTATTGGGGCCTCGCAATGGGGACGCCAATCTTTGTTGGTTTCCTTTTGATTCTAGTTCATTTCTTTAGTGACCTGGGCAGCTTTGGAAGTTGGAACAAAGGAAGAGAACAAGGTGTACAATGACTGTATCCATGAAACATAATGGTTTCTACATCCATGGGAAACAATGCTCCCCCTGACACTTGGCATGTCTTCGATACAGAGCTAGGAAAACAGGAGTTTGAGCAGTGACAGGATTACTGGCAAGTCTTTCCGGGTGGTGTGCAGGACCCCTTATGGAAACTTTAATGGAGCAAGGAAACATTTAGCTGGGTATAGTAATGACCGGACATTTCATTCTGGTGCCCACAGTCATAGGGAGAGTCAAAATCCACGGGTACATTATGAGCCAGGCGCCAATGCTGAGAGCATGACACGCACCATGCAATTCTCTCAACAGCTCCATGAGGTAAGCACTATTTTTATACCATTTTACAGAGAAAGAAACTGAGGCTTAGAAAGGTGGAGGTCATGTAGTTGATACATGGTGAGGCAGTGCCTCAGCACTGAAGCTTTTAATGGCAGCACTCACATTTAAAAATACTAAAAGGCTGCTTATATTTGCTGGAGATCTTTGGGAATAACCTAGAAATTTGTCTGGGATCATTTCAGCAAAGTCAGTATAAGGAAGAGGCGAGACAGGACATTCTTGATATTCCGCTTTCAGTCACACATAGCTGTGTATATAAAGATATGCGCATCTAAATATATCTATCTGGAACTAAATATTTGTATGTGGTTTTGGCAAAGTATGTGACAACACACATAATTAGTTCAAAAATAAATATACATTCTCTTGTTCTTATTTCTGTCTTGGTTTAACAATTAGTACCTAATATAGTACAACTGCCCCACTCTGAGCCCTGCTGCTTCCCTACTCCCATCTACTCCATGTTTGTCCAAGGAGTTATCACTTTGTAAAGTGATGTGACACTGACTGAGGTCACTAAGCAAGACTCACCATTTCAAAAGTGACATTTTAAAGATTTATTCATGAGAGACAGAGAGAGAGGCAGAGGCAGAGAGAGAAGCAGGCTCCCTGTGGAGCAGGGAGCCCAAGTGGGGACTCGATCCCAGGACCCTAAGATCATGACCTCAGCCGAAGGCAGACGCCTCACCGACTGAGCCACCCAGGCAACCTAAAAAGTGACATTTTAAAGCCAGGATCTCAATCACCTTTATTTCTTCCCAGAAGTCTGATGAATCAAACATTAAAAAAAAAAAAAAATCAGTCACAGTATTTACCTTGAGGCCATGGATGTAAATTTTCTTTTTTCTAACTTTTTTATGAGCTTCGAAATTTAAATATATCATGGCCAGTTCAAGATGGAACATTTGCGATTTATACTAGACATTCAAGCTACCCCGCTGTATTCTGTAATGCTGGCGACAGGGTGTTTCTCTCTTGGTTGCAGCTGGGATGAGCCATTTGAAATTTATGGTATGATGATATAGGAAAACATTTCACAAGAAATTGTTGAAATCATCATTGACACTTCCCTCTGGAATAGTCTGGCATTATTAAGGTAATGACGACAAAGTGCTGGATGAAGCGAACTCTTCCATACAGAATCTAGAGCTGTGGTTATATTAGAAATTAAGTTTTCGATTCATTTGCCTACCTGGTAATATTCAAGAGATTGTAAATGTCACTCTAAAATAAAGTATATATATATATTTTTTTTCAGCTACTGAACACTTTATGAAATTGAGTTGACGACGTCAGCAGGAAGTGATCATAGGTCTTGTTACCCGCCCTACTTGAAAGTGCTTCAGGTGTGGGCATGTGTGAAGGAGGTGCTGTTTCTACTTTGTGAATCCCTTGTTCATAGAACTTAGGTCCTTCTAAGACTGCAAGGAACAAGTGTTGCAAGGGCTAAAGTTTCTAGAAGGATGTCAGTATAGTCCTCTCTTAGATACGTGGGACACAAATTTATATTACCCCAAACCAATAAATCCTAGCTCAAGAGAAAAATCACCTCCGAGGTGGTTAAGTGCCAAGATTAAGCAGCATTCCAGAGTTACTAAATTCGACTCTAAGATATTAATACTAGGCCTCTGACACCGTGTTAAATGGCCATTGCCATAGGGGCCAGTTGCCTAGGCATTCTTAAGTGGGGTCTGGGGTGCTGAGGGAAACTCAGGACAGAGCTCTGTCATAATTAAGGAGTATCTGGGACCAGCCCTGTGGTCAACACACAATACATTTTTGGGGCATGATGAACAAAATGCCTCAAGGGCAGGGCATTCTAAGCATAGTGCTGTTTAGGCCAGGGGAGGTGGAAGAGGGATGCCTGGGGGAAGGCGCGTGGAGGGAGGGAGCTGGGGAGTGTGGGAGTGTGGGAAGTTGCAGGAGGGAGGGCATGTGAGGCCCTCACCTGTGAGGTCACAGCATACTTGGCCCAGCAGAGTGGGGCCAGGATGTGAGAAGTTAGCTCATCCAGTGTGTGCCCTTTCCAAGAAGGCTAGTATATGCACTGAGAAGGACATTTTAAAACAACACAGAACACATTTAAGTACAGTACTTCACAATTTTGAGTTTTCCTTTCTTTTTCTAATGATTTTTTTTTTTAAATTTATTTATTTGACAGAGCACAAGCAGGGGGAGCAGCAGAAGGAGAGGGAGAAGCAAGCTCTCCACTGAGCAGGGAGCCCGGTGTGGGGCTCGATCCCAGGACCCTGGGATCATGATCTGAGCTGAAGGCAGATGCTTAACCGAATGAGCCACCCAGGTGCCCCAAGTTTTCCTTTCTTGACAGAAGCAAAGGAGAGAGGACTCATAAGGAAGGGGAGTGGCAGGTAAAGACTTCCCCTTTCATTCTTGCCAAAGTAAATTTCAAGTTTTCCCTCAGGTCTATTTTAATGTTGATTTTACCATCTAGGAGTTCAACATAATAAAGCTGTTCAGGTTCAAAGCTACTCTCCTTGACCACACCTATTTGCTCACATACGGGAAATTCAAATATAACAAGGAGATGATAGTGGGATGTGGGACACATATCTGAGCAGGTTAGGCTCAATCTTCGAGAAAATGGGATTTTCAGTGTTTATATCTGCCAGAATAGCATAATTGTTACATGATATTTGATGACAGCTTGGGGAAACATAGCCACCAACTGTAGCCTAAATTACTAACTAGTTCCTTCTGGTTGCTACCTCTGCTAGGTGAAAGGTTACTTCCGTGTCTATCCAGTTTCTGCTCTTGAGATAGGGAAGACAATGAAATTAGCCCGACCAGCCTTACGACCCAAAATTGATTTAAAATCTGTTAATCCTACATGTTTTTGGTTGATTTCAGCAAGAATGATTAAAAATATATATAACAGTGTGGGTTATATTTTGGTGAAAAGATCAAAGTTGATAATACAATGTTACTGCCAAACACTGACTTCAAAACGTACATGTCCCATAGAGCAAAATGATTTTTTTAGTGCATATGGGCATCATATGGACCATATAACCCAAGCATATTTTCACCACTTTGGAATTTTCAACTCTAACATTTTAGGTGTAAATATATTACCTTGGCACAGTTACCTAAGTGTAGGTAAGTGTGCACAGTTGTTGACAGTTAAAGACATAAGACATTTCAATAACTTTACCCTGCCTTGGATGTAAAGGATGTACAATTTATGTTATACAAAGACAGTCAGTTCCTACAGGCAGAGATCAATTGTATATCAAACATCCAAATCTTATTTCCCAATCAGTTATCTTCTAAAAACATTTGAAATTAAAAACATTCCACAGGCTCTCTACACTTTGAGTTTTATACCCCTGGTTGATCAGCAGAATGGTTAGACTCTTTAAAGATAAAGGTATCTGGTTATTGATTATTCCATGACTGTGTCCAGTTTTTCCATCTGCTCAGTTCCAGGCTTGACTTGTAACTGAGAATCATAAGTGAGAGACCACAAGCTTCCCCCCCACCCCCGCAAAGAACATGCATTTTAGACTAGAGATAATGATCATTCCATTCAGGTGATCATGGAAATTGGGGATAAACCCACACCACCTGAACTCTTGAGTCACTCGTTATATTGGAAAAGAGGCCACTGTGGCAATTGGCTGTGTGGTCTTTCCACTGGATTTCTCAGCTCCTGCCTAGGCTCAGAGATCACCGAAGCTTATTTAACATTTCTTCCCTCGTCAGTATGGAAGAAAAGATCTCCTCAGTGTGTGTGGAGCACCCCTTTAGAACAGAGATTAGCCGAGTTCCAGGAAACTCTTCCAGAATCAGACGGAAAATTTTCAGTTTTAAAAAATAACAGGGCTCTCCATTAAAACACTTAAGAATGTCACGGTTTGAAACTGGAAGATGCAGAAACAAACAAGAACCTCAAGGTCAAAACTATTAAATGCTCGCTAAAAGATCTGATGGAGAAAATGGATTCTTTGCTCCTATGTACTTGTTCCCCTTTTCATTCCTTTTCCCAGCTGCATGTGAACATTTTGGGCACATGTACTCGTACATTCTCAATAATGACCAAAGACGCCTTTTTAATAGAGTTTCCAAAATGTCATGGTTTAGAAAAGAGTTTTGGAAAATAATTCTAATACTGGCTGAGAAACTTTGCTGGCAATGCAGAACCTTAATGTGCCAAAAGGGGTTTACTGATAGCCAGGGAGAGGGGGCTGGCAGGAAATTAGCCAGCATTTCCTCACCTATCAGAATCTCTCTTGGGAGCAGACGTGGGAGGCTGTGGCATTATGAATCGATGTATTTTCTATAGTGTGAGAGAGATCGTAATCTTGAAGAATTCATTGTTGACTCAAATGCCTTCCTCTCCCCCCCCCTCCACAATCCCATTATAACACCTGAAGTAATGGCTGAATCTGTTGTTATCACTGTGGAATATCCCCAAAGAACCAGGTTAATACACGTGGACACATTTAACATTAAGTAATATCCGTAAGGGGGGCAGGCATCAGGAATTCTCTAATGCTTAGAGAAGTGTGATGTGCTGGAAAGACTCTAGATAGAGAAATAGATCAATAGCAAGCCTAATCCCAGCTGTCACGCACTAGCTGTGTGATTTCAAGTCACTCAGCTTCTCTGCATCTTCGTTTTCTCAGCTGTAAAATGGCGGTGGGGTCAGACTTTAAAGTCCTTTCCGGTTCCAGGTAACCACGGTGTTAATTGCCCTTTCTATAGCCTTTGCCCTTTATGAAGAGCTATTGCTTCAGGAAATCAGCTGAGTAAATCAGGGGGACTCTAACCTATTCTGGGGAAGAGCAGAATGTTTTGTCCTCTTGGGCCTTGGTCCATACCACACGCGCCGAAGCAAGGACAGAGATCAACAAAACTGAATGTTGAGAGCCTTGCCAGGTCAGCGTCAACCGTGTTTCTCAGTCAGATACACTAGGATATATTGCAAAACATCAGGATGACAACTGAAAGTCCAAGCGTGAGCTGTGTTGGCCACTTGCAGCTGACAGTCTGAACGCTCCTCAAGCCCAGGGAGGGATACATCTGTGTTTCATTCAGTATGCTTTACATTTAGAAGGGCTTCCTCCTGCCCTCCCCCTGCTTATCATTCCTGGACTAGAGGCTGTCACGTGACATAGTCTCCTGCAGGGAGAGAGGATAAAGCAAAAGGACAAGAAGACAGTGGGGCTCTGGGCCAGAGTCCCCCTTCTTACCTCCTCCACATGACTCGGAGCACTTGGTGAAGCCCTCATATTCCCAGTCATACAGCTCGTCAAAATCCTGCAGGCCACCGAAGAGGCCATCTGTCTCTTCTGGGTTCAACGCAGGTACTTCCCCGTGGCATGGTCCTGCATAACAGGCACGCTGGGATGCTGGCTTGGGCCCTTCACACTCGTCGACAGGCAGGTCAGCCACGGACTGAGAGAAAGACAGGAGCACCTGGCACCTCACCATTCGCACCTGGGTCCCCACACCGCAGGTAACCGTGCAGGCCGACCAGGCTTCGGGGATGAACCTGCAGTCGGCAAGCAAACAAGAGGACAAGATGAGGAGCCCCAGGCACGAGACCGTGGGGGCTGCGGAGGGCGGCATCCCACCTGTTGCCACGGCCCCACGCTGTCCCGGGATGTGCTCCGGGCTCTGCCACCCTGTCCTGCGATGGGTGCTTCAGTTTAGTTCATGAGCTCATTTGCCGTGGTTTCTGGGTTGGTTTTTGGTGTCATATGAACTCCCAGCTGGAAGCCACATTCCAGCTACAGACCACCTGCTTTCTCCCTGCCTTGCACCCACAGTGCTAGCTCTTCAGAGCAGGGAATCAGTGGTTTCTTCTCTCTCTCTCTCTCTCTCTCTCTCTCTAAATCCCAGCACTTGTGCCTTCTGCAAGACGCTGGTTATTCTTATAGCAGACTAATACTGATACTAAAAACTATCACAAAATAAGCCCTTGGAGATATTTAAGGAGGGTTTCTTTTGGGGGGGGGTCTGGCTCTCATATTCTATAACTTTCTTTTGCTTTTCGGCTCAATGTGCTTCCCAAGATTTATTTATATATAGAAAGGGGTTCTTTTTTGTAAGGTTCCAAGAATGGAGTGAAGTCTTGTTCCTCACACATTCTTTGAATTAGTCTGGACTACAATTCTTTTTATATCATAGAGAAAAGCCATGCTACAAATTTAAATCCACAGACGTGTCATAGGAAACGAGAGATTCTGCATTCGTACAAGTTTGTTCGACAGTCCCCTCTCCCCCACCCCCTGAGACAGGCCGCACTAGTGAGAATTTGGTTTTTCTCTGAGTTTCTCTAGAATGTAGGACAATATCCAAATTCCAAAAAAAGACTTTCCCGCCCACTAATCAACAACGGCCTTGACTGCAATGACCTTGAGAGGGACCTAGGGAAAAAAGCCCAGAGGGAACCACTAACATTTTCAAAAAGTTAGTATAATAATCTGGAAAAAGAACTTTGGAATAAGAAGTTTTTATTTTTCCATGATCCTACGGCTTTCTCATTTCTCAGAGAGAAGTGCTGTGGAGGCATGCAAACCTGGTCCCCTAACCTTGACTTTGGCAGAAAACGAAAGAACTGATAAGAAGATTATAGCATTAAATCCTAGCAAGTGCAAATGGTTCAGATCTAGTTTAGGGAAATAGAAATCCTAGCAGGAAACCAATCCAAGTTTTCAAATCGGAAGGATCATAACAAAGATGTTTCCTGGGCCTGAGCTGGGGCTGTGCATGGAGCTGGCCAGGAGAGCCAGACTCCCCAGACCCCCAACAGCTCATGCTGTCTGAGGCATGAAGAGCCATCCCCTAGGAGAGAATGAAGGTCACATACAACCCTGTCAGGAAGGTGGATAAGGGAGGAAGAGCCATCCAGAATTATTCCCAAGAAATTCTCATCACAATGTTACTTCCCTCTCTTGTCTTTAATGCTCGACCTATCTTCCGGCACCCAGAGAACATGCGGGGAGAACAGTACCCTAAAAAATTAAAACGTCTCCTTCTCATTAAATAATGCTACCGGTAGGAGCTTTTTATAAATATAAAACCCAACTCTGCAATCAAACTAATTGTAACCTTCTTATTTACACATTCACATATATATATATATATCTGTCTGGCTCCTGGAACAAGAATTTTGACAAATACACAAACACCGAGTGTTACAACCCAGGTGTAGACATTAAGGAAAATGCAAACTAAACAAATCTGTATGTAAGAAAAACCCAAAAGCAAATGAAAGGTCCGCCAACCTTGACAATAGTGTGTGAATAACGTTTCTTATTTAATAATGTGGTGAATTTTATTTTCAAATAAAAAAATGACAAGATCTCAAAAAGCACCGCACCCTATTAGCTTTTCCTATGCTGGAAGAATTATTGTTCTGTCACCTCTAACAGCCATCTTCAGAGACCATTACAAGAGAACAAGGATCAGCTAGCTTTTTCTGTAAAGGGCCAGGTAGAAAATATTTTAGAGTTTGTGGGCCCTGTTTGTGGGTCTTTGTTGTTGCAACAATTCAACTCTGCCAACATGCTGTGAACACAGTCATAGACAATATGTAAGCAAATGGGTGTGGCTGTGTGCCAATAAACTTTATTTATAAAAACTAAAAGGAGGGTGGTAGTAGAAAGGTCTGAATTTGGCCTGTCGGCTGTAGTTTCCCAACTCCTGCTATAGGACCTTGAGTGGAGATACCAAACACACCAAGATTCATAAATGATCTTCAAACTCATTTCAAGCCTTAGTTCCCATCTTTTCCATATATATAAGTTTCTAAGAGTGGCAAGCAGTTAAATTGATGTATGTTTTATCTTCCAAAGTGAGGCCCAGATGAAATCTAGAATATAAATGATCCACAAACCAAACCCTCAGCTCTCCTTGCCTAGCATGTCAATCACTTTGCATTTGGTCTCATTCCAGGACCAGGAAGATATATCAAAAGCACCCAAAGTAGAAAGGGCACATTACTGGAGCCTCATGAACTCATTGCAGTGCTTGATCCTTGTTTATTTTGAAGCAGCATTTCAATGAAAAGAAATGTGTGTGTGTGTGGGCACACACGCGTGCATTTGTCTATTTTTTATTATCTGGACCTTTAGGGTTAATAGCAAAAACAATAAACATCAATTTTAGGTCTCCCAAGTGAGAGTCTTATCAAATGTCAAATAGCCTTTCTGGCTTATCTCCCAATCCACTATCCTTAGGTCTTCATCAAGTTCACACCAATTAAAAATGATTTGGCTTTTAAGTGGTGCTGTCTTTTGGCAGTCATCTTAATTTCTCTAGTGCATACACTGTATGATATAATATATTCTCTCTTGTTGAAGGCAGGAGATCATATTTCAAAAGAAAAATATCTATTAGAGCAAATGGCCAAGTGAATAATAACTGTTTTTCATACAAAACTTTCCCCCACATCCCTAGATCTCCCAACTCTGTGTTTACTATCTTGAGCTTTCTGGCCACAAGTGGGAAGAAGCAAGGTCAGTTAGAGGGCAGGCAACTGAGCTAGGACGTCTCAGTGTAAGGCTTAGGAGTCTCGGTTTGACTAGTACTTGCTGAGCTAGAATCCTTAAAGTGGGACCTTTAAAATGGAGTCAGTAGGGTGGTTTTTTTTTTTTTTTTTAGTCATTTTGATGTACAAATGTTTCAGTGAAAAGCTCTTACTATTGAAGTTTAATTTGGGTATTTTTAAAGTTCTTTTTGTTAGCAGCATTGTTGGGGGATGAATGCAGAATGACTGGATAAGTGAGTTCTTTCAGAGAAGGGCTCAAACTTCAGAGAAGACCGATAGCATTTCTGCATGTAGTCTTCCCATCCCCAGGAAATTAAAAAAGAAACCTGGCAAATAGATGACTTATGCTTCTGTCTGGTCTTCAATTTGCAAGCTTAATTGTTCATTTCATGAACAAAAAGCTTATCCTTTCATTGGAGTTATTACCATAGTCCCTTTTATGAAACAGAAAACAGTGATAATCAAATTCACTTGTAAAATCCCAACGTGGTTTAGTTTATATGTGGCTATTATGAAGTCAGAAGCACGGACCAAAATAATAAGAATTGCTTTATTAATATAGTGCTAAACAGAAACCATTCACCCTTGGTTAATTAATCTCGTGTCACTGCAGATCTTAGCCAGAGTTTGGCTCCAGTTTTATGCACACATGGTCTATAACTAAGTTGTTTTTTGTTTTCTTTTAAGCAGGCTCCATGCCCAATGTGGGGTTTGAACTCACAACCCCGAGATCAAGAGTCACGTGCTCTCCCGACTGAGCCAGCCAGCCTCCCCTAAGATTTTTAGCTTTATCTTTTCTCCTCTTATTTTCCTCTCCTTTCTCATATACATGTTTGTTCATTCAAAAAATCATTGGGATTATTCAAAATAAGAATAACTTTATAGGGGTCTTATGGTAATGCTCTTACCAGCCTCACCTCAGTCTCTAGTTTTAAAACACAAACTAAAACTTGCAGGTAATCACATGACAAATACTTAGGGGCACCTGGGTGGCTCAGTCAGTTAAGCGTCAGCCTTCGGCTCAGGTCACGATCCCAGAATCCCAGAATCCCAGGATGGAGCCCCATATTGGGCTCTCCACTCAGTGGGGAGTCTCCTTCTCCCTCTGAACCTCCTCCCTCTTGTGCTCGCTCTCTCTCTCAAATAAATAAATAAAATCTTTAAAAAAATTTGATTTTATTTTGTTATGTTAGTCACCATACATCAGTTTTTGATGTAGTGATCCACGATCCATTGTTTTCGTATAACACCCAGTGCTCCAAATTCTTAATTTTGATTTAGTTTTCGACCTTAATAAATTTCAGCTAGACGTCAGATAGGTTTTGTGGATTTCTTTACGCTCTTTGTTTTGGTATATGCTTGGGTATGAGAGTGGTGGCAGGATCTCAGGGTGAGGAGAGAGGAGGGAATGAACTGAATAGTGGAGGGGAAATGATAAAAGGCTTTTAACACGCACCTAGGAGGTTAGTGGGTGCCCTGTCAAGTGCCTCCTTCCTAGTTACTGCAATCTCGCATTGACTGTGAGCTATTTTACCACTCTACAAATTACAGAAAATGGATAATGCACGTGATTCTTGCCCACAGAAATGCAGATTAATTATCTAGTGGAATGCAATTGCTGTCCTGTGGACAGACCCATTTTGCATCTACTTGTAAATCCATTCCAACATCTTATTTGCCTAAATATGTATGGTTCTTTGAAATTTCCTTTGAATTGGTCGGAACATCTTCCTGATACCCTCATTAATTAATGAGGTAGACAAAATCTTGGACAGATGTTCATTTTATAGATGCAGGAGAATCATGGCTTTTCCCCTTCTAAAATTTTATCATTTAACTAGTGGCCACAGAAGGATCTGGAAAATAGTGTATTAGAAAAATAAAATACTGTATAAGTAATTCTACCCCACATTAACCAGAGAGTCTTTTACATAAATATATCATTTGGGGGCAAAAAAAAAGTCACCATACTTTATTGGTAATGATGCTGTTTTCTA